AAATATATCCAATACAAATTCTCTCCAATTATTCCTCAAACAAATTCTCCAAGTTAATTACATTTGAAGATATTTTTTTAATCTTCAATTGTTGAAATGGTATCAGAGCATATAATGGAGGAATCAAATTCTGGCAATTCAAGTCCAGTCCAAGCACAGAATATAAATCAAACTGGTATCTCAAACTGCGGCTGCCTCGATCCTACTCAAACTAGCAGTCCATACTTCATTGGAAACAAATTGGGTTTTATAGACGGAAGCATATGCAAACCTGAAGATCCAAATGATCTAATCATGGCATATTGGCTGCGGTGCAACGACGTTGTCATTACCTGGTTACAGAACACGATGGCCATAGATATCAAATACAGCACCACCTATGCTGAAACGGCCCAACAGCTTTGGATAGAGCTAGAGCAGCGATTTGCTTAACAGAACGCACCCAGGATTTTTGAGGTTAAACAGGCCATTACCATGCTGCTGCAGAACCAAGACCCTGTGAATATCTATTTCTCCAAACTTAAGGCACTTTTAGATGAATTAATGAACTATGAGGTAATACCTAGCTGCAGTTGCGGAGGATTGAAAATTGTGGTCGAAAACCAGCAAAGGGACTAGGTGATGAAATTTCTAATGGGGCTCAATGATTCTTATAAAGGAATCAAAGCACAAGTCCTACTAATCAAGCCTTTCCCAAGTTTAAATGAGGTATATTCAATCATACAACGGAAGAAAAGAGGAGAGAAATTTCAACTGAAAATGGTGGGCCTAAGCCTATGGCTCTTATCTCCAGGAGAGGCTATAGAGAAGCTGGAAAACAGAATTTCACAGCACAGAAAAGAGATGGTTATTATTGCACTTTCTGCAAAATTCCAGGACATTCCACAGAGAGATGTTTTAAAGCTAATCCAGCAAAATCAGTCTGCTCTTACTGCCGAATTCCTGGCCATACTGCTGATAAATGTTTCAAACTACACGGATATCCACCAGGTCAGAAGTTTGAAGGAAAGGCAAGATCACTGGCTAATAGTTCAGTTGCATCCCCGCCAATTGCACAGGAAGTAGTGAATCACAAATCTCAGGTGTCATTAAGTCAGGAACAATATTCCCAGCTCATGGCACTTCTCAAACCAACCACAACAACTCAATTCCCCACCTACTCAGTGAACAATGCTCAGTGTACAGCAGCAACTCCCTCATCATCTGAAGAAAACATTCATCAACTTTCTGGTATATCCTCATGTATGTCTATTTCTGAGTCAAAATTTTCTAACGTTTTAGAAGTTCCCTGGATCCTAGACACAGGGGCTACTGACCACATGATTTGCTCAGCTTCATTGTTCTCCTCCATTCAGTCACAAGTTTCTTACTCAGTATCTTTACTAAATGGTAACAAGGTCCCAGTCACACATATAGGGACAGTAAAAGTCACAGAAACACTTACGCTTCATGACTTTCTTTATGTACCTAGTTTTTCATACAATCTGATTTCAGCTAAAAAGTTTACTCGAACCCTTAACTGTTGTTTGATTTTTTTCTCTCAATTTTGTTACATCCAGGACCTTTCACTTTGGAAGACGATTGGCATGGATGAAGTCA